GTCATATAGTTAGTGATTGCGGTAGTCATGGGAATATGTTACAGCTTTTTGTCACTGAATGGCTTTGCTCCTGAAGGCAAAGCTTATTTTTTTAGAAAAGTTCACAAAATATCTTCCTTTTTTTTAAATCGTAGTTCCTGAATCTTAAAGAATTTTCTTCGGTGTTCACCACATTTGGAAGGACAAATGTTGTGGATCAATTATTTCCGTTGGGTCATATCTAATCGTACTTCACTTGGAGTTATTAGTGGGCTGGTTTATGAAGGAGCTAAGAATTTAGAGTATTTGACCGTGTAATATAAAGCGGGTGGCGTTTTGTTCTCTACGTTGAAATGCTCGGTACGTCTGACCCATCATCATGTTCGTAGATAAAGGGGTATTTGAACAGGCCGAAATCGGTCGCGTGCGTGCTAGCCAAATATAATTCGACAGTTGCAGGCATTTCCATTTGCTACTAGAGAAGCATATTTACTCACTGAAAATAAGCGAACTGTTTGATTGGTGGTCTTTGACGATATGAGAGAGACTAAAGCTTAGGGGAATTTATGCCTGGTTCCGTAATTTTTGACTTATTTTGAGTTTAGTGGATTGACCGTTTCCTGAAATGCTTATTCACAATATTCCGCAAATATGTAAATGGCGAGGTTATGCTCAGATTGAGTACCTAATGTTTTTTATGGGGATACATTTTATTCCATATTAGAAGAAAACCAGTCATTGCTCGTGTTAACGGACGCAAGACGTTGGTGTACTTCCCTTTTCTTCGTTCAGTTTCAACAAATTTTCCGCACCTTAATCCAAGATTTCTTCGTTTTCAGGCGTCTCAAACTCTCCTGCAGCACGTGCGGAAATTGTCGACGCTCTAAAAAGTGCATGCCTGGATCTGCAAGTTGGTGAGAAGATCTCGGAGATTTTGAATCGCTCGCCAGTCTGGGCGCAGTATCGGGATCAGCGCCACGATCTGTTTTTGCCAGCTCCACGGACTCAAGCAATCACCGGTTGGTTTGAAGTACTCTATGTGTGACTTCGAATTTTATTGAAAAAAAAAACTTGAACTGAATTGCAAACAGGAGCTTTGCGCTGGGATCAGAATATTTCGGCTGTTAAATTCTTTCCAATGAGGTGTTATTCTTGAAGGCGGAGTTGACAATGAAAAGGCAGCTAGTGAGGAATCAAGGTAGTGGTGGTCAGTGATGCAGGGATAAAAAAAAACAAGGCAAGTGGTCTAGAATCCGAAAAATGCGCTTTCGCCCGCTAATTTCCTTATTGATGCGTCATCGGTGCTGCCTCACCAGCGCAACACTCTGCTCAACGGCTAGACTCAGACAGCAAAGGGTTACCCATCGCATCGTTGGGCGTGTAAAAGAGCGACCGGGGTAAGTGCGACACCTAGGCCGCTACCATACCCATACCAATGCCATCCACTGCTAATTGCTTCGTCCCGCACATGGAAGCCCCGTCTGCTTTTCGACTAGGAGTAATTTCCCCTCTTTCTACGTGGAATCCACCTTTAACGCGTTGTACTAGCTCTAGGTGACCTCTTGTTTATTACGAAAAGAGTTTCTTTTATTGAAGCCAGTTTTAGCTGTGAATGATAGTGCGCACATCCCTGGATGATGGAGAGAGGGGACTACTCATAATTTTTCCAAGCGAACTCAACTAACAATTGTTTCTGACTGTTGGAAAATGATAATTTTGATCGGAGTCGACCGTTCTGCTGCAGCGTAATCC